AATGTGAGTACTAGATGTCAAATACTGAATGTCAACTATGAATACTAGATGTCAAATGCGAGTACTAGATGTCAAATAGTGAATGTCAAATGTGAGTACTAGATATCAAATACTGAATGTCAAATGCGAGTACTAGATGTCAAATAGTGAATGTCAAATGTGAGTATTAGATGTCAACTGTGAATACTAGATGTCAAATACTGAATGTCAAATGTGAATACTAGATGTCAAATACTGAATGTCAAATGGGAGTATTAGATGTCAACTGTGAATACTAGATGTCAAATACTGAATGTCATATGCGAGTACTAGATGTCAAATACTGAATCTCAACTGTAAGTACTAGATGTCAAATACTGAATGTTAACTGTGAATACTAGATGTCAAATACTGAATGTCAAATGTGAATACTAGATTTCAAATACTGAATGTCAAATGTGAGTACTAGATGTCAAATACTGAATGTCAACTGTGAATACTAGATCTTAAATACTAGATGTAAAATACTGTATGTCAAATACTGTATGTCAACTGTGAATACTAGATGTCAAATACTGAATGTCAAACGTACTAGATGTGAACTGTGAATACTAGATGTCAAATGTGAATACTAGATGTCAAATACTGAATGTCAAATGGGAGTATTAGATGTCAACTGTGAATACTAGATGTCAAATACTGAATGTCAAATGCGAGTACTAGATGTCAAATACTGAATGTCAAATGCGAGTACCGTACTAGATGTCGAATTCTGAATCTCAACTGTAAGTACTAGATGTCAAATACTGAATCTCAACTGTAAGTACTAGATGTCAAATACTGAATGTCAACTGAGTATTAGATGTCAAATACTGAATGTTAACTGAATACTAGATGTCAAATACTGAATGTCAAATGTGAATACTAGATTTCAAATACTGAATGTCAAATGTGAGTACTAGATGTCAAATACTGAATGTCAACTGTGAATACTAGATGTTAAATACTAGATGTCAAATACTGTATGTCAACTGTGAATACTAGATGTCAAATACTGAATGTCAAACGTACTAGATGTCAACTGTGAATACTAGATGTCAAATACTGAATGTCAAATGTGAGTACTAGATGTCAAATACTGAATGTCAACTGTAAGTACTAGATGTCAAATACTGAATGTCAAATGTGAATACTAGATTTCAAATACTGAATGTCAAATGTGAGTACTAGATGTCAAATACTGAATGTCAACTGTAAGTACTAGATGTCAAATACTGAATGTCAACTATGAATACTAGATGTCAAATACTGAATGTCAACTGTGAATACTAGATGTCAAATACTGAATGTCAAATGCGAGTACTTGATGTCAAATACTGAATCTCAACTGTAATTACTAGATGTCAAATACTGAATGTTAACTGTGAATACTAGATGTCAAATACTGAATGTTAACTGTGAATACTAGATTTCAAATACTGAATGTCAAATGTGAGTACTAGATGTCAAATACTGTATGTCAACTGTGAATACTAGATGTCAAATACTGAATGTCAAACGTACTAGATGTCAACTGTGAATACTAGATGTCAAATACTGAATGTCAAATGTGAATACTAGATGTCAAATACTGAATGTCAAATGGGAGTATTAGATGTCAACTGTGAATACTAGATGTCAAATACTGAATGTCAAATGCGAGTACTAGATGTCAAATACTGAATGTCAAATGCGAGTACTAGATGTCGAATTCTGAATCTCAACTGTAAGTACTAGATGTCAAATACTGAATCTCAACTGTAAGTACTAGATGTCAAATACTGAATGTCAACTGAGTATTATATGTCAAATACTGAATGTTAACTGAATACTAGATGTCAAATACTGAATGTCAAATGTGAATACTAGATTTCAAATACTGAATGTCAAATGTGAGTACTAGATGTCAAATACTGAATCTCAACTGTAAGTACTAGATGTCAAATACTGAATGTTAACTGTGAATACTAGATGTCAAATACTGAATGTCAACTGTAAGTACTAGATGTCAAATACTGAATGTCAAATGTGAATACTAGATTTCAAATACTGAATGTCAAATGTGAGTACTAGATGTCAAATACTGAATGTCAACTATGAATACTAGATGTCAAATACTGAATGTCAACTGTGAATACTAGATGTCAAATACTGAATGTCAACTGTGAATACTAAATGTCAAATACTGAATGTCAACTGTGAATACTAGATGTCAAATACTAGATGTCAAATACTGAATGTTAACTGTGAATACTAGATGTCAAATACTGAATGTCAACTGTGAATACTAGATGTCAAATACTGAATGTCAACTGTGAATACTAGATGTCAAATACTGAATGTCAAATGTGAGTACTAGATGTCAAATACTGAATGTCAAATACTGAATGTCAACTGTGAATACTAGATATCAAATACTGAATGTCAAATGTGAGTACTAGATGTCAAATACTGAATCTCAACTGTAAGTACTAGATGTCAAATACTGAATGTCAACTGTGAGTATTAGATGTCAAATACTGAATGTCAACTGTGAATACTAGATGTCAAATACTGAATGTCAACTGTGAATACTAGATGTCAAATACTGAATGTCAACTATGAATACTAGATGTCAATTAGTGAATGTCAAATGTGAGCATTAGATGTAACTGTGAATTCTAGATGTCAAATACTGAATGTCAAATGTGAGTACTAGATGTCAAATACTGAGTGTAAAATGTAAGTACTAGATGTCAAATACTGAGTGTCAACTGTGAGTATTAGATGTCAAATACTGAATGTCAAATGTGAGTACTAGATGTCAAATACTGAATGTCAACTGTGAGTATTAGATGTCAAATACTGAATGTTAACTGAATACTAGATGTCAAATAGTGAATGTCAAATGTGAATACTGGATGTCAAATACTGAATGTCAAAGGTGTATACTAGATGTCAAATACTGAATGTCAACTGAGTATTAGATGTCAAATACTGAATGTCAAATGTGATTACTAGATGTCAAATACTGAATGTCAAATGTGAATACTAGATTTCAAATACTGAATGTTAACTGTGAATACTAGATGTCAAATACTGAATGCAAATGTGAATACTAGATTTCAAATACTGAATGTCAAATGCGAATACTAGATGTCAAATACTGAATGTCAAATGCGAGTACTAGATGTCAAATTCTGAATCTCAACTGTGAACACTAGATGTCAAATACTGAATGTCAAATGTGACTACTAGATGTCAAATACTGAATGTCAACTGTGAATACTAGATGTCAAATACTGAATGTCAACTGTGAATACTAGATGTCAAATACTGAATGTCAAATGTGAGTACTAGATGTCAAATTGTGAAGGTCAAATGTGAGTACTAGATGTCAAATTGTGAAGGTCAAATGTGAGTACTAGATGTCAACTGTGAATACTGAATGTCAACTGTGAGTACTAGATGTCAAATACTGAATGTGAACTGTGAATACTAGATGATAAATACTGAATGTCAACTGTGAATACTAGATGTCAAATACTGAATGTCAAATGTGAGTACTAGATGTCAAATACTGAATGTCAAATGTGAGTACTAGATGTCAAATACTGAATGTCAAATGCGAGTACTAGATGTCAAATTCTGAATCTCAACTGTGAATACTAGATGTCAAATACTGAATGTCAAATGTGATTACTAGATGTCAAATGCGAGTACTAGATGTCAAATTGTGAATGTCAAATGTGAGTACTAGATGTCAAATACGCGTACTAGATGTCAAATACTGAATGTCAACTGTGAATACTAGATATCAAATACTGAATGTCAAATGTGAGTACTAGATGTCAAATACTGAATCTCAACTGTAAGTACTAGATGTCAAATACTGAATGTCAACTGTGAGTATTAGATGTCAAATACTGAATGTCAACTGTGAATACTAGATGTCAAATACTGAATGTCAAATGTGAATACTAGATGTCAAATACTGAATGTCAAATGTGAGTACTAGATGTCAAATACTGAATGTCAAATGTGAGTACTAGATGTCAAATACTGAATGTCAAATGCGAGTACTAGATGTCAAATACTGAATGTCAAATGAGAGTACTAGATGTCAAATTCTGAATGTCAAATGTGATTACTAGATGTCAAATGCGAGTACTAGATGTCAAATTGTGAATGTCAAATGTGAGTACTAGATGTCAAATACTGAATCTCAACTGTAAGTACTAGATGTCAAATACTGAATGTCAACTGTGAATACTAGATGTCAAATACTGAATGTCAACTGTGAATACTAGATGTCAAATACTGAATGTCAAATGCGAGTACTAGATGTCAAATACTGAATGTCAAATGTGAATACTAGATGTCAAATACTAGATGTCAAATACTGAATGTCAAATGTGAGTATTAAATGTCAAATACTGAATGTCAACTGTGAATACTAGATGTCAAATACTGAATGTCAAATGTGAATACTAGATGTCAAATACTAGATGTCAAATGTGAATACTAGATTTCAAATACTGAATGTCAACTGTGAATACTAGATGTCAAATACTGAATGTCAACTGTGAGTATTAGATGTCAAATACAGAATGTCAAATGTGATTACTAGATGTCAAATGTGAGTACTAGATGTCAAATTGTGAATGTCAAATGTGAGTACTAGATGTCAACTGTGAATACTGAATGTCAAATACTGAATGTCAAATTACTACACCTCTTCCCTTCTTAATAAAGACAACATCTGACAAGTAAACAAGAAAATCAGTCAACATCAAAAGTTAATTAAATACAATTCTATAAATTCGGTTTTTAAATATACACATTTTATAATTTTTTTGGTATTTGTTTTAATTATCTCTATGTACAAATATATAATCTGTTTTCACAAAAATAGAGTGTAGTTAATATTGTTAGTAATAATGGAAATCTGGATTAATATTTGCTTTTCTAATTCTAGTAGACCTCTGAATTGGATTTTGATCAGTATCTGGCAATTGCACTTGGTGCTGAACTCTCAGTTCAACATTCTGGTCAGGGCATTCAAAAATAGAGAGATCTGCATCTATATCATTTTCAGATTTGTATACATTTTCTCTACTCTCTGCCCCATTGACTTCAAAGAATGATTTGTCACGAGTAACACTTTTTCCTTGTTTATTCTCTGCCGTTATCATACATGTACTTCCTTTCGATTTAACATTAAACAAGTCATTTCTATATCTTGGTTCAAATTTTGTACGCTTTGTATTTTTTACCAACACTCTCTTCCCCATCCACAAACTGTCTACTATTTAAACTGACTGTTGTTTTTTTTCAGAGTTGTGAAGCTGAACCAAATAAATTGTTATCAAATATATTGAAATGTTGTGCAGACCTGAAGGAGTTCAGTTTGATTTCTCCAAGCTTTGTATCAGAGTTGAATGGCCAAAGACCAGTTTTATGGTAATAATCTTGATACTGGTGTGCCATCTAAAAGAACTGTTAATTAAAATGGAATCTTCAAAATCAAGTTGAGTCAGCTTGTTGTCTACTGTACTGGGAGGATGGGTTTTCAAGAACAAAATTAAATTATATGTGAATGTATGGGTGACTTGAGGCACAAACAAAAACAATGCAGCTTCTGATTGCCTACTTTTTTACACTCTGACTTTCATTTTACCAAATTACAAGTTCCATAACTTATAGTAAGATGTTTTTTGAGATCACTAGATCCATGTCTGATTTTTTTGTTGCATCAGTGAGGCTCCAGTGGATTAGCACACTCCTGTGACGAGGAAGGCGCGACATTGCACTTTTTAACGTTATTCGATATTATCGTCTAAAAATGTCTAAGTTAGACAGGTCTGTCTGGGCAACTATTGCAACTGTTCGTTTTTCTCTGATATTATCGATAATATCGTCTAACAATGTCTAAAAATGTATAAAAATGTGTTTATAGTGGCATAAACTACTAAAAAAGGTAATTTACCTGGACAGCGATTTGTCGAGAAATAAATGTTTTATTATAATCATCCAGGATTTTTTTAGTCTGAAAATTATATTCCTCGTATTAGTATAGCCAAAACGTTCATCCACTGATTATAATTAAAAAAAAAATGCGTCCAAGCATTACGTTAAACGCTGAAAACATTCGAAGGGAATGACTTAATTTTACCTTTCCCACATTCAGTTAATTTGAATATAAATTACAGAATTAATTAATTATAAACCTCAACAAATACTTTATCTTTCTAAGTATAAACAAATAATCCTTGACAACTGACAGCGTAACGAAATATATTTACTCAAGAACGATCGGATTGCGCTAGTGGCGGACTTAACAGAAATACATAACAATGCCACGTATAGTATAAACTAAATGTTTATTTACGTACTTTAATAGATAGATAAAATGTAAAATGTGTTAATGCTACTATTGTCTCCATGAACATAGGAAAATATTTCCATGGCTATTTATTCGTAATGCCGAATGAAGTATAGTTAATTCTTACACAAGTATGTTGGGTTTTTACGTAACGGCTGTAGAGTTGTCTTCCTTCCTTTCGGCTTTAAAG